AATAAAACTGTCCGCGTTCCAACCGCTAACATTTCCTTTTGCTACATAAAACACATCATTAAAACTTGAATTTTTATTACACCACAATTTTATTACTGCGCATACTTACACCTAAAACAATGAGAAACGGGAGAACTTTTAAACAAATGACTACTAATAAAATCGATCACTGTTAGCCCAGGTTAAACAATTATAGGAGGATAAATGAAAAAACTTTAGATCTTCACTCTCGCCTTCACAGAGCACTGATGGCATATACACGCAAGGAAAATGTGGTGATCTTCTATTCCTTTAAATACTCTTCTGTTTACTTTCTGGAACCTTCTGGAAACATCCGGATGAAAATGTTTAACCGACAGGCAGATTCTATTACACGCATTTCAACTGCATAGAGTTGGAACGGTCGATGACGATTATGACGTAGGTAAGGCGGACGAGGCTTTTACTCCCCAACACTAACGGAACCAATGCGACAGAAGGCGATCAGATCGAGAACGATACGAGAGCGCTACGGCAAAACATTTACTCCGAAAAATCTTAATTATTAAACATATTGAAAATTAGGAAAAAATTATGAAAAGTATATATTTGTTATTGTTGTTTTCAGTAAACTTGCTAGATGCTAATAGTGCAATATCATCTGCAAATCTAAGCGTACTAATCTCTTGCCCCTGTATATCTATCCCTACAGTTGTACTGTCTTTAATGATGTTGATCGCGTCTTCGATGTATAGATTAAAAGTATTTGTGAGAGAGTGTACATCCCTGTCCGACTCCCTTCCTAATATCTACTTCTTTACGTTGCAACCCCAGCCCTATAACTGCCTGTTGCTCTTTATACAAACTAAGTATCACTCTTCTATATCTGATAATAACTATAACTCGATAAAGACATTGCTACCCTCTTCGGCCTTGAATCTTTTTTCATATTATATTATTATATTCTACAAACTTCAACAATTCCAGAAAACGTCTCTATCCTTTATTAAGACCCTTAGGTTCTTATATACAAAATCATGAAACTAACAATGGGATAAGAGATAATTCTTCTTCGAGTTATCTTTTTGAAAGTTTTTTTAAATCAAGTAACTGTGATGTTCTGCTTGGGCGGCTTGCTATAAGAGAAAGGTCTAGAAATCGTCTGTACCAACATAAATTTGAACTCGAGGACTTTGATATTCCTGGCAACGCATTTTCGAGTCCTCCCTTTTAAATATTCCTGATTGTATTCGTATTCGAAGAAATTTTTTAAGAATCTCAAAGTTCGTTGGTTTTGCAGTTAATTCGTGAAGTACGAAATCATGAATAGAAACGGGTCAAATCGAAACGAATTTAAAGTTCGTAAAAGCGAGATTTAATAGGCGACAAGTTAAAAAAGGGTCAACTATTTCAGTGCAAATAGGGTTAAAGTTAACGAGTGACGGTGTCGCTTCTTATCAACTGTTCAAAGTTAAACTCGGGTTCCGAAGAAAATTTCTAATTAAAGTTTTAAGAATCTTGAGGCGATACTTTGTGTGGTTCTCAAGGAAAAAAGTAAAAAAAAAAAAAATAAAGGATAGGTACGGCTAGGTTTGTAGAAAATTTCAAAGGAAACGCTTATTAACTTGTTTATGGACTAATTAAATTCTGACTCAGATATTTCTAAGCCGACGGTGGTTTTATTGTGAAGGTGGAAGGCCGTAGGTATTAAGTGCAGTAGACAGTCTTCGTTACCTCCAAATGAAGTTAATTAAAACAAATTTAATTGCCACGAACAACTACCCCCGGCGATCAAGTGTTTCGAACACAACGATAATACGTAACTCTGCCACCAGATGCATCTTCCTATCCCATATGTCCTTAATGTAGATCGAAACCCGAAGGAAATAATTTTCGGAAGTTTTTTCAAAGAAACAAATTACATAACAGATCTTCGTAAAAATATTGCTTATTATTACTAGTGTTGCCACAGACATACACTTCCGCTTCCGAAATTACGCAAGTTCCGCATACATTTTCACATTCTCGCTTCTGCATCTGGTTCTTTATTTTTATAATGGTACCTTATAGGAACTTAACAAAATTTTATTTTATATATAAGTATTTTTGAAAATCAATATATTTGGACAATTAAACAAGCTGTTAAAACTTATTACTTTTATCTATTGGCAAAGATTTGTTAATAATACCATTGTCTCTTCTTTATTATAGTTTAGAGCCTAAATCTATTTCCTAGTATTTCGGGTGTTGATATTTTCCAAATGCTATTCTCCTATTAGTTTCCTATTTTAATCCAAAAACGTCTGAATGTCTTGTCCCCATTAGCCAATTCTCTTAATAATTTCATTTCAAAAATAATAATACAGTTATAGCGTTTATTTCTTTTGTAGTGTTTGCTCAGTGGTGTCAATTTTAAGTTAAAAGTGCAATTTTGAAGACAAAAGGAAGTTCCATTTGGGATTATTTTAATTGTTGATATTAACGATGTAAGTGCTAAATGCAGAATTTGTAACAAAATATTTACGAAAAGGTCGCACGACCACTGTATTAAACAGTCACCTAAAATCATTACACTTCCGCATCCGCTTCTGTTTTCGTTATGACACAGAAAGTACTAAAATTTAGGTACTGTACATCATTATTTCAAATATAATTCTTTACTTTTCTATATTGTAGAACAAACAGAAAAGCTCAAAACCCCAACGCCAAAACACGACACTAAACTAAACAGTTTACTTCAGTCCCTGAAGAAGGTAACTTTGTTACCGAAAAGTGCTTCGGACAACTACAGTGTCGTGTTTTGGCGTTGGGGTTTTGAGNCTGTCACGTCCTCGCCAGGAATCGAACCCGAGACTCTGGCTTTACACGCCATTGCTCTATCACTAAGCTATACGAGGTAACAGCAATAACAATGACTATCTTGCCTATCTACAGAATCATTGAACCAATGTATAATCATTTATGTCTTTAAAATAAAATTACAATTTTATTTCCTATTTCTAAAATGCCATACTTATTATATTTCCAATATTAAAATCAATAAACCTTTGCGAAATAAAATTTCCTACCATCCTACCATACTTAGAAACATGCTTTTGCAAACCAAAAATCCTTAAAAGGATCTAATGAAATCAGTGTCAAAATAAATAGATTTTTTGCAGCATTCTAGATTGGTTTCAATTTGAATTTCCGGTTATAACAACGTTTTGTTTTTTTTTGTGTCACTTATGGAAGGTTTAGAGCGACAAAACGTTAGATATTAACTGTGAATGAATGAACGAAGTAACGGTAAGACCGCACCGTTATAAAAATCTCTAATAGGCTTGAAAACCCCCATCGACATTGCGACGGTAACGCCTGTTGTTGTCGAGTACTCGCACTTTGCAGCGAAGCTTTTGTTTTTGTTGTATTGTTCACGAATTAAAGGAACAATGAGTCTCACTTCAGTACAGTTCGGTTCCCTTTAGTTGAAAAAAAGCTGCTAAATTGTAAAAATCTACTAATGGCGGGTTCAGACTTTTTCAAACTGCCGCAAACTTTACGCAATAACTACAATTCCACAGTTTAAATATGTGATCGAAAGGAAACACAGAAAATCTTGGACCAGGACAGACGGATCTGGAATCAAACCGGTGTCCTACCGGATTTTAAGCAATGGGCTAAAGTCTAAACCTCTAGGTCATGCCATTAGGTGCAGGAGAAGGAAAAAAAAAACTTTTGGGTGTTTCATTCCCATCAGCCAGTAGTGCTGGTGGGCGGGCAGTCCCTCCGGACTATGCCGGAAGGTAGGGCGGAAGACCCTCTTCAGCATCGTTTCAGGAATAGTAGGAATGAGTGGGTGGCGATTCGGGTGAGAAAGATGAGACGGACGAAATGAAGACAGAAGATAATCAAAGATTATCTGCGGAATATTACTGCACAAGCATTTACCTAACTGATCCAAGGAAGCCACTGAAGAACATGGACTAAGGCGGTCAAGCCAGGAATCGAACCGGCGTCCTCCCGAATGCTAAGCAATAGTCTAAGCCTCTAGGCCATGCCGCTTGGTGCAAGAGAAGAAGTAGCAAAGTAAACGTTTGTAGCGCATCGTTTGTGTAAGTGACATAATATATAGTCCCTAAATCACTCGGAAAAAGTGGCGAGAATCAGCTAATTTAGACATAAACTTTTTATTAAATCCATGTCACACAATAAGATGAAAAACATATAAAACTTGAACTGAAAATGTAATAATAGACATACCTATAATTAGTAGTTTTATGTTTCCGTTATTCTTCGTTGACTATAGTAATACAGACTTCTTTTTAATTATGTTTTGACAATCAATTACTTGCGAAAAAAATGTAACCTTTTAATTTCGTGTTCGTTGCACGCAATGTTGTGTGTGGCCCTAATTTTATTAGCTCAGTGGGAATATTTAAGATTATATCATTAAAGTGGCATAAGAAAGGAAGTGTTTTGTCGTAAAAGTTGGTCAGCATCCCGATTGCAATTATAAGAATGATGGGGGGGGGAGTGAGGGAAAGGAGAAGATCAGAGAGAATTAGGCCCGTAAAGTCCTTAACGTTCATTCGTCATTAAAGAAGATTTTTTTATGGCGGTACGTTTTCATTATTCCACTTGGGTTATATACGTAAGTGGAGACGAAACAAACCGCCGTTAAACAAAAGAAACATTTTTATTTGGGTCGTTAAGGGACCTGTAAAAGTCTTCCGTTCGAAAAACTCCATCAAAGTAGGCCTTCAAAAAATAAAACGCCATTTTGACTTTGCGGTTTTCGTTTCTTCATCGCCTTAGCGGTATCGTAAAATTTTTGAATGCAGTGTGTTTAATGACCTACTATACCTTTATAATTTATAATTTTGATCAGTTTAAATTAGACGCTGTAATTATTTATAAAAGTTGGTTCAAATTGCCATATCTATAGATACATATATTACGATAAACGTTCAATATTTATAAGAGACAACTATAACATTTTACTGTTTAAGTTGTAAACCAAAACAAAAAAAAAGACTTACCGGCATAGTTTGACTTCCGTGTAAGTTGTTGATTGCCGCTTGTGCTTCTTGATGTGAACTGAATTTCACGAAAGCACAACCTAAAACAACAATAAAACAATTAAGAGGTAATTCATAAAATACAAAGCACCTAATGTAAGAAATGATAAGAATAGTGAAACTGGGAAGGTAGGTATATACGAAAGATAAGGTTACTAACAATTACAGTGCATATCAACGTTATATCGTTATATATTTACCTAGCGAAATTTGGGACAAAGGGGGTAAGGTAAGTACCAAATTTTTTTACCACCAATAACAATAGCTTAATTGAAACATTTTTAGAAGAATATTTGTACGGTTTTCTATATATTAAAGTGAATAGATTTTTATCAGTACAGATAATCTGAAATTAATGAGAACAAATTGTTGTTGCTGTCACGTCCTCGCCAGGAATCGAACCCGAGACTCTGGCTTTACACGCCATTGCTCTATCACTAAGCTATACGAGGTAACAGCAATAACAATGACTATCTTGCCTATCTACAGAATCATTGAACCAATGTATAATCATTTATGTCTTTAAAATAAAATTGTACTACATATTTATTTCAATGTTTTCTTATTGCGTCAAGATTATTGTCCGATTATTTTTGGTTTAGGTATATACCTAATTCTTTTTTGTTTTACTTTGAATAAATTTAATGACTTAAAGTTCAATCGGCAGTCATGCATTCAGCACATTTACAATTAAAAACTAAACCAGCTGAGTATGCAAATGGGAACCTGAATCAGTTCGGGATTGACTTGGTAGCCGGGAGTATCTTTCGATTCGCCTGTCGCGATAGTGCCTTATTTGCATCTTCAAATGGACGACGCATAGTTGGATGGGAAGTGAAGGGAGACAGGGGGACGGAGGTAGCATCGGCAACGGGACCGAAGCAGAAGATTCGGAATAGCGACAATTAAGGCTATTCGGGACCGCTTTAATCCAACTTTTATTTGGAATTTACAAGTAATTGGAAGTAAATTCTGTTCACGAGCCCGAGTTCAAACAAGGGCGTTGCCTGTGAACGCAAAAGAAGAGAAAATGGGTCTTTTGAGAGGAAAGATGTCAATTATATGTTCATTCCCTTGCCTGGCTTAAACTGCTTTGAGAAAGCACAAAAGGCATTTTGAAAAACAATGGAATTACAAGAACGTGACTTTATTAAAAGAAAAAGAAAAAACAATAACGCAACTACTACCTCCATATTTTGTATGTATGAAAATGTGGAGATTTCATTTTGAGTACCTTCTTGTAAAAAACAAAATTATTACCAATTGGACAATTTAAGAAATGGTTGGAGGCGTTCGAAATGTGGTTTTACAGGCGCATGATGATACTGTATATAGAAAACGTTAGAAATGAGGAGGTATTAGAAAGAATAGCAGAAAAGAGGATGTTATGGAAGTCAATACGAAATAGATGTGCTAGATTGGTGGGACACCTTCATGAAGGACAGTTAGGAATATTAGCTCAGGATGTGTCCAACTGACTGCATTCACAAGATTGTCAATCCTACGATGACGATGATTCTGATGAACAATCTAACCAACGAAAAGAGAAACAATTTGGGGTCATTGTAATTTATTTATATCGATTTCAAGGATAACGCAAAATGTTAGAATATGTTGACAAGGGTATCATGGAAACATTACCATACTAGCACACTAAAAATTCCTAGTATTTTTAGTAAAGTTTATAAGATAAAATTATTGGCCTAATATTGAATTTATCAATGCATGTTTCTTATATCCACTTCATAGTAACAAGCATGGGCGCAGCAAGGGTGGGTCCGGGGGTGCCTCAGCACTCACTCGATTGGACTCCAGTCAATTCGAGTCCATTCAGATAATAACACAACTTGAAAGTTCGGTTCAAATAGTTCAAGTTCGTAGTCAGTCAGGGCTAGACTCTTGACAAATAGTTAAGGATATTTTGGGGAAATGCGAAGCTAAACTCAGAATAGCGTGGACTGATGGAGGTGTGTGTCCAAACAGTTTTTAGACTGACGCTTCTACGACAATGATGATGAATTGAACTTGTACATTTTGTGCGTGAAAGAAAGTTAACAAGTCAAAGAAGTTCATGGTGGTTAGCGTTATATAAAATACTACAAACGCGCGCTATACGCCATCTGTAGTAGAGTCTGACAGTTTCGCCAGAATAATGACCACCATGAACTTCTTTATTCTAATTTGAGCTACGCCGTTTAATTAAATATTTTTAAAAGCAAATAAAGTTCTCGAAAACTAGTTCTGAAATTGTTACAGGAAATATTCAAATTATTACCCTATTATAAACTTTGATACCAGATCTATGGAAATTAAACTAATTGCAGGTATTTATTGCATGCATTATCTACATGACCTTTGCCCGTACAGAAATTCCCTCACTGCATTTAGTATAATTAATTTTCGCGACAGCAGATTTCCCAGTCTACACATTTGTCTAACTGATTTAAACGAGGTGAAATCATCGTTTTAATGTTTCTATGTGTCTGACTCGTGTTCCCCATAACGGCGTTCGCGTTTAAAATATTCCCTCAAATAAAACTGTCCGCGTTCCAACCGCTAACATTTCCTTTTGCTACATAAAACACATCATTAAAACTTGAATTTTTATTACACCACAATTTTATTACTGCGCATACTTACACCTAAAACAATGAGAAACGGGAGAACTTTTAAACAAATGACTACTAATAAAATCGATCACTGTTAGCCCAGGTTAAACAATTATAGGAGGATAAATGAAAAAACTTTAGATCTTCACTCTCGCCTTCACAGAGCACTGATGGCATATACACGCAAGGAAAATGTGGTGATCTTCTATTCCTTTAAATACTCTTCTGTTTACTTTCTGGAACCTTCTGGAAACATCCGGATGAAAATGTTTAACCGACAGGCAGATTCTATTACACGCATTTCAACTGCATAGAGTTGGAACGGTCGATGACGATTATGACGTAGGTAAGGCGGACGAGGCTTTTACTCCCCAACACTAACGGAACCAATGCGACAGAAGGCGATCAGATCGAGAACGATACGAGAGCGCTACGGCAAAACATTTACTCCGAAAAATCTTAATTATTAAACATATTGAAAATTAGGAAAAAATTATGAAAAGTATATATTTGTTATTGTTGTTTTCAGTAAACTTGCTAGATGCTAATAGTGCAATATCATCTGCAAATCTAAGCGTACTAATCTCTTGCCCCTGTATATCTATCCCTACAGTTGTACTGTCTTTAATGATGTTGATCGCGTCTTCGATGTATAGATTAAAAGTATTTGTGAGAGAGTGTACATCCCTGTCCGACTCCCTTCCTAATATCTACTTCTTTACGTTGCAACCCCAGCCCTATAACTGCCTGTTGCTCTTTATACAAACTAAGTATCACTCTTCTATATCTGATAATAACTATAACTCGATAAAGACATTGCTACCCTCTTCGGCCTTGAATCTTTTTTCATATTATATTATTATATTCTACAAACTTCAACAATTCCAGAAAACGTCTCTATCCTTTATTAAGACCCTTAGGTTCTTATATACAAAATCATGAAACTAACAATGGGATAAGAGATAATTCTTCTTCGAGTTATCTTTTTGAAAGTTTTTTTAAATCAAGTAACTGTGATGTTCTGCTTGGGCGGCTTGCTATAAGAGAAAGGTCTAGAAATCGTCTGTACCAACATAAATTTGAACTCGAGGACTTTGATATTCCTGGCAACGCATTTTCGAGTCCTCCCTTTTAAATATTCCTGATTGTATTCGTATTCGAAGAAATTTTTTAAGAATCTCAAAGTTCGTTGGTTTTGCAGTTAATTCGTGAAGTACGAAATCATGAATAGAAACGGGTCAAATCGAAACGAATTTAAAGTTCGTAAAAGCGAGATTTAATAGGCGACAAGTTAAAAAAGGGTCAACTATTTCAGTGCAAATAGGGTTAAAGTTAACGAGTGACGGTGTCGCTTCTTATCAACTGTTCAAAGTTAAACTCGGGTTCCGAAGAAAATTTCTAATTAAAGTTTTAAGAATCTTGAGGCGATACTTTGTGTGGTTCTCAAGGAAAAAAGTAAAAAAAAAAAAAATAAAGGA